TTGCTTTGAAAAACTATAACAGTCATTGCAAAATCATGAGATTTTGTTCCAAAATTCAGATTCCCTTAAAACACTGAAAGAACTGGTCATTTGGGGTCCACATTCCTGCCACACAATGACACTGCCCTAGATGAACTTTGCAACTGTCCACAGTCTCCATTTTTCCCCACTGTTTCCCCATTTTTCTTTTTTTTTTTTTTGAGTTGGAGTCTCACTCGTTGCCCAGACTGGAGTGCCGTGGCCGCTCCTGGCCACCGCAGCCTCAACCTGCTGGGCTCCGGCGATCCTTCCGCCTCAGCCTTCCAAGTAGCTGGAATTACAGGCATGCGCTACCACGCCCGGCTGATTTTTTGATTTATTGTAGAGATGAGGTCTCGCTGCCCAGGCGGGTCTCGAACCCGCGGGCTCAGGCAATCCACTCACCTCAGCCTCCCAAAGGCGCGGGATTACAGGCTGAGCCACCAAGCCCAACTTGATTCCCCATTTAACCCTGTTGAAATCAGTGAGTATTCCTAAGGAGGTCCTCCAATCCCTGTATGGTGTACTATCTTTAAGCTCATTCTGGTGCTCAGAAGTTTTGTGTGTTTTGGATTTTCTTTATTTCCTCCTCTTATTTTATCACCAAATCCAAGAAAACTCATAGAAAGCAAAGAAAGTATCCTACACTTTGCACCTCTCACAACACTCAGTACGAAACTAAGTACAACGTAATCAATGTTTGCTGAATGAATGAAGAAATAAATTGTAAATACATGCACCTCTGTGATCATCTTTAATACTTGCTCTTCCATAAAATTCTAGATTTTTGCTATTAAGGAGACGGTCTAAAATGAATATGGATATGTAATAAAAAATAAAACACTAAAGTCAATCATTGCACTTCCATTTCAATTTTCTATTAGGTTGAAATGGAAATTGGAAGCCCTGAATAAATGCAGAACAGACCGTTATGTCTGGCAGCAAGATGAATTAGAGCCTGGGACACTGAGGATGCCTGCAAATAAGCTCACTAAATACGACCCGTGATCTTTGAAGGTCTGTGGAGAATCGGATAGGTGCCAAAGAGCTGGAGGCGGGCAAATGTTCTGATTTTCCAAAGGGAAAAGAAGTTACAGCCTGCCAGTTCCAGAGCAGATAACATGATGTCACTCTCAGGCAAGGCTCTTGAACAGATTTGGAAAAGGACATTGATGAGCACCTAGGACAGGAAGCAACGTCAATCTGGCACCAGCACAGGGTCACCAAGAATAAGTCATGTTAAATTCATTTCATTTTCTTCCCTTCGAAAAGACTCCTCCCCTAGTAGATTGGAGAAACATAGCAGATATAATATATAGGGTGCAGTGAGGGGTCTCACAGTGAAAGGGTTAATTCAACCACTGGGCTGTATTAACGGAAGTATTACAGACAGCATAAAGGAGGTGAGAGCTGTTTTCTTTCTTGGACCACATTTAAATAATCACATTTAGAACTCAGAACCACTCTTGAAGCGGGATAGTGATAGTATGATATTTTGGAAGTCTTTCTAGAAAAATGTCTTTAAAAACACAAAGCTCTCATCCAGATTTCTGGCATCTGTTGAAAAGTTGAAAGATCTGCCTGAGCCTACATGCCTAAATGGCAACAACTGGCAGAACCCAAGTAGTGACTGCCCATTCAGACAGAACATGTACTCTCAGGGTAATCACCATCACCCCTTCTTCTACTTCCGGCACCGAGGTGGTGGACCAGCTGCCACAAATCATCTCACTTGGCCAATTCACTCATTTATCCTATCTGCCAAGCACCCAAAGACACTGAAATTTGCAGCCCAGGATGCAGCAGATCCAAAGGAGAGTAAAGATGCTAAGTGGTAATGAACAGTGTTATATAAGTAAGTTAGGATAATCATAGTCAGAGGCTATAATCAGAGGCTCCAAACACCCAGTGGGCAGTCATGGGGAAGAAACATCTGTCCTGTCTATGAAGTCCCAAGGGGAAGGAACTATAGAACCAATAGGTGGATGACAAACATATTTAACATAAGGCAAGAACCAAAAAAAAAAAGGCAAGGCATGGTGGCTCACTCCTGTAATCCCAGCACTTTGGGAGGCAGAGGCCAAGGGTTCGAGACCAGCCTGGTCAACATAGTGAGATCCCGCCCCTACCAAATAAAGAAAGAAAAAAGTTTGCCAGAGATGTCCAAAGATAGAATATGTGAGCTTGGGAGGTAGTAAGCTTCCCATCACTAGAAATGTGCAAGAATAGGGTTTACTACTGCTTTGCAGGTATATAATGAAAGGGATTCAAGTATCTGATGAGGCAAGCCAACAGAGTCTAAAAATTTTTACAATAGGAAAAAAATACTCTTTTAAAACAATCCAATATTTTAGGTCAGTAAATTCTTGAAGAAAAAAAGAGAATAAGTCAACAAAGAACTCAGCACCATTTTTAAAAATCAAAAGTTCCCATCACAGAATTCAGAGTACAAAATCTGGTTAACTAGGTGGACTGTTTGCACCAAACTGGCCAAATGATAGCCAAGGAGAAAAGGAATTGGCCTCAATCACTGCTTTTGGTGACTGGTCAAATGTTCTTCGGAAGCATGCAACAAAAGACCCGGATGAAAGCAAGAGAGTAAACAATGGAACTCCATCAAGAGGCAGCCAGTCCCCACCACAAAACTGCCATCTGCTGCTGACATCAATCCTTCAAGGGGCAGCCTCAGGCATTAAAACCGGCCTTGGGACCTTGGGCAAGTCATTTAACATGATTGGACCTCAATTTCCTAATCTCTGAAGCTGAGATCATGCTATCCCTTCTGTACATTGTGTAGACCAAGAGGAATGACATCTGGGAGTGACCGCAGCAACTGTACCCATGCACACATCAATAACTGTGATGATGATTTAAAAATAGACTTTTGAAAGAAAAGATTTCAGGGGGTTTTGGGTACCGCAGTATCCTGACCTAAATCTGATGAGTGTCAACTTTAAAGGAATAAAATTAAATTTCTTTAACCAGAATGCCCAGAAATATAAAGTTTGTAAGAGACAAGATTATTTGGACACATTTCCTGATGAAATGCATGGTAATTGGTGCATTCCTGATGAAATTTATGGCACTCGCTGATTCGCTGTTAAAATAAACATGAAAGGTTAAAAGTAAAAGAATGAGCCAGTGCCATTAATGCTTAATTGGACTTCAAGTAAAGTTAACTGGTCCAGTAGCAGCAATCCTTCAAAAATCAGATGAGCATATTTCCTACCTAGACAACGCTTATAAAAACCCAAACTGTCCCAAACTCAGCGTCTCCTTATCTATCATGGTATTTATCATGAGAATTTTAATTTTTAAAAAATAATAATAAACAGTCAAATTAGTATTATAATACATAAACTCTCTAATAAGAGTCTATTCAAAGGCTGAAACTAGACTTTGTATCTGACCAATAAAGGGCTTGTTTCTAAATTTTCAGCAAGGCTGAGGCATCACAAGTCACTGCTTTCCACACGGAACTGAAAACCAAAGACAAGAAGACCTAGAAAAAGGAGGGTTTTCTGTTCCTTTTGCCCTAAGCTCTACCCAGAGGCGATGAACATGCTGGTGATGGCGGGGAGGGTGGGCAGAGCCCTCCCGCCGTGGCTGCTCCACTCCCAAAGTTTTCCAGGCATCTGAAGCGTGTATAGCGACTGCGGTGCCCGGCCTTCCCGCCACTCCAAGGGAGGCCACCGGGCTTCCTGGCTCATCAAGCCTTTGGCTACAGCAGCACCTAGAAGCAGGTGTGGCAACCTCAGGCCGCCTGAGCCCAAACAACCAACTTGCCCGGCAATCCACCGGTAACCTCAAGGATAGGCCTCAGTGTCCACTGAAGATGTATTCTGTCTACTCCTTCCATGACAGACCACAACACGCCCTGTGTCGCAGCAAGGAGAACCATGACCAGAAAGAAAACATGCCAGGAGGCATGGCCCCAGGCTTCCTTTAGGGCATCTCCTCGGAGAAAAGGTGAGCACAGCGGATGTGCCTTTGGGGTTTCCTTGCCAATGCTGAGCTGGGAATGTGTGGGGGTGGGAGAAGCCCCAGTCTGGCCTGAATGAGGACGCCGCCTGCTGCGTTTAGCTGTGCAATTGTGTCTCTTTTCCTATTTCTCCTGGCTGGCGTGGATTTAAGGAGTGGCTGAAAGAAGTGTGTGTCCAGCGGCACCAAAGCTGAATCCAGCAGCCAGAGATCATCTCACCCTCCCAGCAAGCTCCCTCTGGACCCAGAGAAGCCAGGCAGCACCGGCCAGTCCAAACAGCACCCTGAGGTGTTGGCTTTGAATGAAAGCTCATGACCTTAAACACCAGTGCATAGCGATTGGGCTGCACACCGCGAGATAATACATTTTCTGCACTGAGCTCCCTCTTTATGCCTAAATGCCTGCATTAGTGCGGATCAATATGCCCCGTAACAGTTAATCCATAGCAACCCAGGCCAGCCAAGAGACACCGACAAAGAAGTGCCGCCCAGAGATGCTGCCTCCCTTGTGCACATGCATGTGAATTCCAGCCCAGAGAAAGAGGCGGAGACACCACAACCACCAACAACCAAAACCGAGAAGGGGGAGGGAAAAAAAGCAGATCAGATAAAACATACACCAATATGAAGGGGCTCTGCCCACAGCGGGGAAGGGGTGGAGACAGTGACTGTCAAAATGGCCTTAGAGTGACATGTCACCACCAAGATGATGGAGTATTCGCGACACTCCTCAAGTCGGGCGTGGGATCCTCCTCACACACCTGCAATGCAGAGATTGCTGCCAGTTCTATAATCCACACTCCCAGCCCCAGCGCTATCTGCAGTTGAAACCAGTCCGGACTTGTGCGGCTGCCACTGTTCCTCCTCACAATAAGATTATTGATGCATAACAACATTTCATGATGGCAGGGAGGAAAACGGGGGTGGGGGAGGTGGGGGGAGCCAGAGCAAGAGAGAAAGGAAAGCGGGGGAGAAGGAAAACTCTCCCGGCCGCATCTCACCTTTTATTTGGGCTTCATATTCAGCAATGATCTCTTTGTCTTTCTTGAACTTAGTTTGAGATGACATCTTCCGACGTGGCCAAAGGAACTGACAGGCTGTTTGATTTATTTCTTTTTTTCTTCCCAAGTCCTCTCTCAAGCCCTGGTAATCACACGGCTCTGGTCGATTTCACAGGTTTAGGGGCTAATCTCTTTCACTTGGCTGCAGAGCAGGGAAGAATCTTTCTCCTTCTGGGAGGAAAATTCTCTTTACTCGCCGAGAAAAGGCTCTAGTAGCTTGCTCCGGTCAGCTCCTCTGGCAAAAGAAGAATCACCCTACGAGCACAGTAACCTGTCCCAGATTTTCACGATTTCTTCTTCCAAAAAAAATAATAATAACCAAGAGCATTCACACATGCACTCCCACACACATACACACACACACTCACGCGTGCACGCGCACACTCACCCGGACACACACACAGTTATGATGTGCACACACGCATACATACACACACACACACCCTCACTCACCCGCACACACACTCGCTGGATCACTCACACACACACATTCACGAGAGGCACGGCGCCTCCTTGGTGGTGCAGCCTGCCCCCAGCTCGCTTTTGAAGGCTCTGCTAAGTCGATGGTCAGGTTGCCAAAGGGCCGTTCATCTCGCATCCTCCCTCCCTTCGGTGCCTCTGGTCTGATGTCCAGTGAGGATCAAAGCCAGGAGAGAGAGATGGAAGTTTTCCTGCTGCAGCGCTTAAGCTCCGGTGAACCCAGGGCTGGACTGCTCGCCCTGCAGGGCTGGCTGAGCTCTCCCCCTCCGCCCGCCCTCGTCACTAGACTCCGCCTCCCGGATTTTATAACAACTGACACATTGTAGCCTACAGGAGAACAGAACTCACTGCAAGCAAAAAGGGGAGGAAACATTCACAAAAGAAAAGGCAGCAGGAAAAAGAATTGGGCTGGGAAGGCCTGAGAGGCTCCTGCAAACTCCAACCATTAGCAGTTAGGTGAGGGATTTGGCTTCCAAAATTTAAAGCTCCTCCTCTCTTGTTTGCACTGTGCAATTTCTTTCAGTCTCTTAAATCAACGGCTATATGACGATTTGTCACTCTGCTGGAGAACCTAGCAGAGGGCCTGACCCATGTGGGGAAGGGCATTAATATTTGTTGAGCAATTACTTGGTGGTGGGGCAATGCCGGGAGCTTCAGACACAGCTTAGCAAAGTCATGGAGAGCAGGCCTGCTGGCAGCAGGTACAGCTGGGTCAGCGGCCTGAGGAGCTTTGGGAAAATTCATAACTCGTTGAGCCTCAGTTTCCTTGCCAGTAAAATGGGCTTCTTTTGGGGGGCTCTTTCATTCATTCTTTCACAGATATTTACTGAACGCTTACTATAGATCTGGCACCATTCTAGGCAAAGGGATATATCAAATCAAAATGTGGGGGGGGGACCCTCTCCTTCTGGAGATCAACAAGCTCCACATCAGGCAACTCCAAGAGTCCCCACCATTCACGTTAATATTCTTGGTAAAAGCCACGCTCGGTGGCTCAGCCTGTAATCTCGTGCTTTGGGAGGCTGAGGTGAGTGGATTGCCTGAGCCCGCGGGTTCGAGACCCGCCTGGGCAACTTGGCGAGACCTCATCTCTACAAAAAATCAAAAATTAGCCAGGTGTGGTAGCGCGCGCCTGTAGTTCCAGCTGCTTGGAAGGCTGAGGTGGAAGGATTGCCAGCAGGTCGAGGTTGCACTCCAGTCTGGGTGACAGAGTGAGACTCCAACTCAAAAAAAAAAAAGAAAACAAAAAACAAAAAAATATTCTTGGTAAAAACACTCCTATAGCCAGGCATGGTGGCATGCGTCTGTAATTCCAGCTACTTGGAAGGCTGAGGATCACGTAAGCCCAGCAGGTCGAGTCTGTGGTGGCCGTGAGCGTGCTGCTGCGCTCCAGCCTGAGCAATAAGAATAAGACTCCAACTCCAAAAAAAAAAAAAAAAAACCACTCCTGGAGCAGAATGCATTGTGAATGGTGCCCCCTGGATGCGTACGAGGCAAAAGGCCCTGGGAGAGGAAGACAAAGAATAAGCATAATGAGTACATTATAGAATATCCTAGAAAATGATAAGTGCCGTGGAGAAAAAAATATTGCAGATAGGGGGCATCAAGAAAGAGGGGGGCTATTGGGAGGATGAAATAAGAAGGCAAAACTAAGCTTAGCAGTGCTTGGCACATAGTAAGCACTCATTAAATGGTAACAATTATCATTACCCCACCACACCCCCAAAACCTAACAACATAGGTGTAAGTATCCCTGTTTCACAGATGAAAGAGCCAGGACTCAGACATGGGAAGTGACTTTCCCAGTGTCACCAGCATTCCAATCCAGGCTGTCTGAAACCAGATTCTGCGCAAAGTTTTTTGCATGACTACAAGGGATATGAAACCCATCTCACTTAAAGTAGAACAAGATTCATTCTGTAAAAAAATGGAATTAAACACTATAGAATCATTGACCACTGAAATTTTATATATTAAGATTGTCAGGGTCAAGCACAGTGGCTCACGCCTATAATCCCAGCACTTTGGGCAACTGAGGCAAGAGAATCAGTTAAGCCCAGAAGTTCAAGACCAGCCTGAGCAACATAGCAAGAACTTGTCTCTACCAAAAAATTACAAATAAATTAGCCAAGTGTGGTGATGGGTGCCTGTAGCCCCAGCTACTCAGGAGGCTGAGGTTGACAGTTCTCACAGGTCACCGCTGTCTGAGCCCAGGAGGTAGAAGTTGGAGTGACCTCTAATCGTGCCACTCACTGCACTCCAGCCTGAGCAACAGAGTGAGACTCTGACTCAAAAAAAAAAAAAAAAAAAAAAAAAGATGGTTCACACCTATAATTCCAGCACATTGGTAGGCCAAGGCAGGATGGTCACTTGAATCCAGAATTTTGAGACCAACCCGGGCAACCGACCTCGGCTCTAATTTAAAAAAAAAAAAAAAAAGATTGTCATTAACATGTGTTGTCTTCTGAAAGAAATTTCCCCAAATTTCTCAAAATAAGTCGAGACTTCCATTTACCTTTTTCTAAGTATATAATAAATGATTTGATATGGACTCAGAAATGAAAGGCTTATCCATGCCAGCCCATCGAGGTTTCTCAGATGAGGTGGCAGCTGCAGTGGGTGCCCCAGTAGGCATGGCAAGAGGAGTGAGCAGGGCAGGACATTCCTACAGAGCGAGTGGGGTGAGCCAGGGCCCACAGGTGGGTAAGCACGGGGTCTGTTCGGAGCAAGCGCAGGGAGAAGTCCAACTGGTGAGTCATGAAGCTTATTATAGCTTTGTGCTGGGAGACAGGAGGTCACAGAGTTCAGAAATAGATGCCACCAGCCCTCAGCCTTTGCCACCACCCTCCGGCCTGACACTTCTCACCGGGCATGCTCAGGCCCTCTGCTCTTCCCCTTCCCACTAGTTTGAAAACACAGAAACCTCACATTACCCAACAAAGATACGCTCAGAGATTAGCATTCATGCCTCAAGCCCAGATTTTCCAAGAAAGACTTGGGAGTTAACACCCCGAGCCTTGGAACGTGACAGACTGGATTCCTTCCTGGTTCTGAGCCTTGACTCATGAGGACTCCAGCAAGTGACTGAACCTGCTTGTGTGCCCACTGGTAGCGGGCACTCAGTGAATGTCAGCAGTTTTTACCATCATTAAAATTTTAGTCCACAGATAGTTCTAGAAACCCATGGAAAATCATCAAAAAGCCACGTGAAACCAAAGCAGGATCAGGTGTAGAACTATGTGCTGAACGCTGGTCGGCAGAAGCCGGATTTTGGAGTAAGACAGATGGTGACTTATGTTCGGGCTCCACCGCATACCAGCTGTGTATGGCGTCTTGGTGGCTTCCATACCTTCTGTGAGTCTCGGTTTCCTCATCTGTCAGTGGTGGCGATCTACTCATCGCACAGAATCCAATGTGACCCAGATTTAATGTGTCTGGCATCAGAGCCGAAGTCCCAGGGACATAATGTCTTTTTTAGGCCCAAATATAAGAATCATGTCTTTTTTGGAGCTAGGACCAGAGCTCAGCCTCCACAAATACACAGGTTGGGAATAGGAAAAGAGAAAGAAGGAAAAGGTTTGTGCCCCCTGAAAATCCATCACCACGCATAATGAATTCACATCATCTAGCATCTTCTATCCCCAAGAAGAGGTGGGTATGACCCAGGCCGCCCCCAGCACAATGGCCCTTCCCTTTCCCTTCCAATCCTCCTCACAGCCGGCCCCATCTCCCCCATCCCAACTGTCCTTCGGCAATACCTCCCTCTGCGGGGCCCTTCTTCCTCGCAATATGAGAACCAGTCACCATTCCTGATGTTTATCCTTTACACGGTAGTGATATGTAGATTTCTTTTTTTTTTTTTTTTTTTTGAGT